CCCAGAGCCTGGCCCCTCTTAGTCCTCCTCCTGGAAGGACTGGCCCTGCTCCCCTCCTGCTTCTCTTTCCTCTTCAATTCCAGTATCTGGATATCTGGCCCTGTGCCCACCAGCCTGCGGCCCCCTCCCCCACCCCTTCTTCCTCCAAAAACTCCAGATCATCTCAGCACTGCACGGGATGGAGAGGCAGATCCCCAGTCTCGCTCCATTTCCCATCCTCAGAGGATGGCAGCGTCTTGGGCAGGAATGGCAGCCGGCTGCAGTCTGCGCATCTTTTCCACGGTGGCCGCTTTCCCAGGTGCCATGCAAACTCCGGCATCCCGTCTGCCAAACTTGTCCCTCCTGCCCCGGGCTGCCAGGGGTTAAGGGGCAGAGGTTGGGAGTGGCACAGGGGTCTGGCCTTAGAAACTGGATCTTAAAGCCAAGCAGAGTTTAACSGCAGGTCACAGTCTTCATCCAGGGGACTGAGTCTCAGTCCGGACATGTCCTCAGCCAGTGCAGTGCGTCCCCACCTCCTCCCTCGGCTCAGCCAGCCCAGCCCAGCCCTGAGGAGAGCGTTGGCAGCTGGGGCTGGGAAAGYGTCACCGAGCCAAGAGCAACAGAGGCTCCGCCTGGGTGCTGGCTGCGGGGACCCTCTCTGCCTGCCTGCGGCCCCTCCTTCGCACAGTCGGCCATGCTGACCCTCCTGGGCCGCACTTGCTTCCCTTTGCCAGGCTCCAGGCTGGCCCTGGAGGTCACCGTCATCCCCTGTCTTTGAGTGGACTTTCTCTTTCTGGGTCCCTCRGGATTTTCTGCCCTTACCCTCCCTAGTCCGAAGGATCTCCTGTACTCAAATGTTTCTAGGAAATGAGTTGCCTTCTAGGTCTCTGACCCTGTCTCCTGACCCTTCACTTCCTGTCACTAGAGACTTTTTTGGTCTAACTCCCATCCAATCTGCTTCAATGGCAATTTCCGMGGGGTGGAGGTGGGATGCAAATCAAAATTTGAAAAGAGCTGGGTTCCTGAACCCAGAGAGACAGGTAAGAATGTGGCACAGGGCATGGTGGCCCATGCCTATAATTCCAGTGACCCGGGGAGGATGAGGCAGGAGGATTACAAGTTTGAGGCCAGCCTGGGCAATTTAGTGAGACCTGTCTCAAAATAAAATTAAAAAGGGCTGGGGATATAGCTCAGTGACAGAGGGCCTCGGATTCAATCCCCTCTGTACAAAGGACAAGAGCAGACCTGGCAGCAGAATGTGGCAGTCTGTGCTCTGCGGCACGGAAGCCTCAGGGCTCAGGGGCCAGGAGACAGCAACCATCTCGTCCCAGTGGCTTCCTGGCATCCCTATCTTCTGTAAAGTCTGCTTTCTTGCCAGCCCACTTGGCTGAGTGGCAAGCCCCAGGTGTCCAGCCCCACCTGGGTTCAATTTCTACCTGAGTCTCAGCCAGCAAACCCTCTGACCCAGCAGATGCAGTAACACTGCTGGGGTGAGGCTCTCTGCAAGTGCTGACTTTGGCCAGAGAATCTCCCCGTCCTGGTTGGGGGTGTGGGTGGGGGCTTCAGGACTCGCCCACTCTTGCCATCTGCAGTCAACCCTTCCCTTCCCAGTGCTGAACTGGGTGGTCCCTCTCCCCACACCCAGACTCAAGGGAGTGATGAGCGGGGTGGGGGTGTCTCCTCATAGAAGCTCTGTACCCCTCAATCTTGTACACGTCTACCCCACCCACACACCCCTCACCCTGCCACTCTGGCTGGCCAGTGCAAAACAGGCAAAACTCTCCTCCCAGGCACTTTACAACGGAACAAAGCTCCCCAGTGGCCCTTGTAACCCTCCCAAGTGTCTGTCTCCTTGCCTCTCCACTCCCATCCTGCCTCGGCTACCCCTACCCGGCTTTTCTCATCAGCTTTGAACCCTTCCCCCCACTTGAGTCTCCACATTCCTCGGGGAGCCCCAAGAGGGGCATGACCAAGGCTCCTAGAAGGGGGGAAGAGTCGCCTGGGGCAGGTCTGCAGCAGATTTGGTCGTAATTAAAAGGCCAGGACACGGGGAAATTCCTTCTCCTTATTGATCCCAGCGGGAAATTAAAGCCAGTTGTTTGTGACTGRCTGATGCTGGCCTGGTCCTCCCCACTGCCAGGTTCCAAGCCCCTGCCCCTTGCCCCTAGGCTCTCCCATCCATCTCTGTTAGTTTCCTCTCCCCGGCCGGCCCCCCACCCCTTTCGTCTCCCACTCCTCCCCGTCCCCCAATCCCCTTCCCCAGCATCTACCCTAAACACCTCCCTGTGCCTCCTGTTCCCCTGGGGTGATAGGGCTGCTAGAGGCTGAGACCTCCAGCTCCAACTCGTTAGCACCCTTCGCCAGACCTTCTACCCTCCTCCCTCAGCAGGGTTGGGGTGCTGGGGCTGGAGCTCAGGCCGGGAGCTGCCAAACCGCAAACACTCACATCTGGAAAGAATTCCCCTCCCAGCCCGACTTCTCTTTGTTTCACTTCTGTCTCTTTGGAAATCCTGGCCAGTTGGCTGGTTGTGGGGGAGAGGGGAAGTGAAGGGAGGGGAGGGGAGTGGGCCCAGGCCTCCCTGCCCCCACCCCAGGGAGCCCCTTCTCTGACTCCAACCTCCCCAGCCAAGCCATCGTGCCTGTGCTCCCCTGTTCGAGCCTTAAGGGACCAGAGGACATACCTCCTAGGGATAGGCATCCTTGGGTGAGGTTTTCTGTTTCTTTGTTTTGCCACACTGGAGATGAACCTGGGGCCCCAACATGCTGGGCAAGGGCTCTACCACTGAACTACCCCCCCAGCCTGGGCTGAGCTTTCAACATCCTTAGTCACAAGGCTAGGGGGTGGGGGCGCTGCCCTGGCTCTTCTGCAGGAGGGGTGCCCACTAGGAGACTAGACTCTTCCAGCTGGGGGCTTCAGGGGCTAGAGTGGACCAGAGTGGACATAATGACCTTGGGAGAGACAGAGAGGAGACAGGAGGAGTGAGGGGAAAGGAGGGGCAGCAGGAGTCTGTTTTCCACAAGTTCCCTCCTCCACTCTGTCCTCATCCCTTTGGCTAGGAGCCGGATTTCACTGTCAGAACCTAATCCCCCTCCCTCCCTTTACCTACAGCGACGCTGAACCCGGAGGGTGGGGGAGGAACTCGGTTGTGCCTGCAACCCCAGGCCCTAAGCCCTCCCCAGGGGCCCCCTTCCTTCCACCACCTCTGTTTTGTCTGTCTTTCCATAAGCCCAGACACCCACCTCATCTCAGAATCAGCTCCCCCACACAAAACCTGGACCTCTAAAACCAGGCCTAAGAGGAAGAGACAGGCTTCTTCCAATCTGCAGGGTGATCCGCTATTGCGGGGCGGAGGGGGGGGGCAGCTAGAAGTCCTTTTGGCACCACAACCTCCATCCCTCTGCTGCCTTAGTTCAACACACCCATTAGTGAGATTTCCCTCTGTCGCAGAAGCCCTATCCCCAGAACACCGAAAGGCCTCTCCTCTGGTTCCATTCCTCCCATCTCCTCCCCAGTCCCGCACAGGCCCCTRGTCCCTAGACTGTTCCTGCGTCCTAAGGGTGAAGGCTGCAAGATCTGCCAGCCTTCCTGCTCCACCCTTGGCCACGCTGGCAAGGAGGGGCCAGGCAGGGACATAGTTGTGGGGGTTTTCTTCCCGCCTTAGAAAGAGCTGAAGAGCAAGCCCTGGAAAATGGGGTGTGGGGGCAGTGGGGTGCAAGCAGCTGGGCAGGAGCGCTGCAGGGCCCTTGGGCGCTGGAGGAGGGGACGTTCTTCCCGCTCCAGGCTCTGCACCGGTCCTGCTCAGCTCCTCTGCTGTTTCCGGCCCCGGGTCTCCGCGCCCATCTCCGAGGCTGTCCGTCTCTACGCAGCTCGTTTTCTCTGTCCTGCGGCGCTCTCCAGGGGTCTCGCCACTACCCCTCGGGTCTCCGCGGGAAGCTGTGCCCCACACCCCCACCTTTGATCTCCCACTTCAAAGTCGTTCGCCAAGGGGCCGACGCTCCTTCCGCCAGATTTACAGCTCAGAACGGTGACACCTGAGACCCTACTCCGCCCCCTCCCTGGGCACCCAGGCTTTTTCTCCAACCTAGGTGGTAGCGCGACTCTGCACCTCTGTCTGGGCTCCCCCTCCCTGGCCCCTCTCGGGCAGGGGGAGCGCAACCGCAGAGAAAGCGCCTTAATAAAGAGCTCGTGTCAAGTGATTGGTGGTGACCTCTGCCCTCCCCAGCCTCGCTCCCCCGGCTCCCGCTTAACCCCTGGATGTCCGTCCAGTGCATTAAGAGCAGTGAACCTCCTTTCGCCCATTTTGAGGGTCCCCAGGCACTACCCAAAACCAAGGCCGAATCTCGGGGTGGGGAGACCTTGCAACCCCCTCCGAGCCTGGTCGCGTCGTTCCAGCAGGGGGCGCCGTTGCCTCGCTCAGATGCCTGACCCCAGAACCCCGGGCTGTACTGACCTCCAGGGCTCCCCAGGCCTCTGGAGCTGGAAACGATCCCGAATGAATCAGTTCAGGCTCCACTGGAGGCCAAGTTCGGTTGCCCGTTTCCTTCCCCATCTCTAGCTTAAAAACTGGGGCTCATTCTAGTGGGGTCGTCGTGTGTCAGGCATGGGGACCAGTACGGAAGAGGCGAGAGTCCAGGGCTCTGAGTCAAGCTGGGGACCGGTGCGAAACAGGCGAGATGTGACCCTTCGGTTGCTCTGCAGCACGAGAGATCCGAGCATCTGGCGACCCCTCCTCCGCCAGAGATCGCGATGCAAACGCTCGCCTTCCATTCCCTGCGCCATCCTCCTACTGGCGGAGGAGGCTAGCTCAGCCTCCAGAAAACTCACCCACCGGGCAAGAAGGAGACTGGGTGGGAGGGTGGAACGAGACTGGAGGTTGGCAGCGGGGGCTCAGGGCCCCCCAGGTGGGCGGGAGGGCGGAGCGGGGGCGGGGCCACCTAATTCCTGGGCAGGGGCGGGCCTCGCGCGGGGTATAAAAGCTGCCCGCGCAGGAGCCCAGGCCAGCTTTGGGGTTGCCCTCGGACGTGTCTCGGTGATTGAGTCTCACCTTCCGGCGAAGGCGGCGGCGACGTCTATTTCGATTAAAAGCGACTCAGCGTCCAGGGCTCTCCTCGAGGGAACCCCCGCCCGCACCACCACCATGCCCAACTTCTCCGGCAACTGGAAGATCATCCGATCGGAAAACTTCGAGGATTTGCTCAAAGCGCTGGGTAAGGAGGTCTCTGAGCACCCGGGAGAGGCCAGGGGGTCGCTGGAGTCCTCGGAGGTGGAGAGGTAGGGACGGGAAAGAAAAGGAACCGAGTCAGGGCGCGAGCGCCTGGGCGCCTGCCTCCGGAGAAAGGGGCATCGGGTCGCCTGGGCCCCGGGGCACTGAGCCCGGCCAACTAAATCCTGCTTTCTCCGGCGGGGCGCCCACCCGTGCCAGCTCCAGCTGTGACTCAACGTGTGAATCAAGGAGAAACCAGAAACACGAGGTTGGTCGCGGGAGGGGGTTAGCCAAGCCGGCTCCTGGACCCATTCATTGACCGGGACATCTGCCTCTGGGAGGGAGACTGGGTCCTTGGAGACCTTCCAGCCTCCTTCCCCAAGGCTCCGCCAGTAACCCAATCCTCGGGACAGGTTCTGTACCCTYCGCGCCGGCCCGGCCACCCGGTGATCCGCTGCCCCAGCGCCCCCTCCCCCTCCCCCTTTTGCGCTTTCCGCGGTCCCCAACACCCCACCCCGCCCCCATCTGTGAGACAAATATTTTCCTAYAGCAAGCAGTCCAGAGTCCTAAAATCGCTCTGGATAATTATCACTTTCTTGGATTTCAACAAATGGCTTCGTGTGAAACCCCAATCTCCCATTTCCGAAAATCCGGTTCCCGCCTCCCCGACTGCAGCCCAGCGGGCTGTGGTGGTCACAGGTGGGGAAAGCCCAGTGCACCCAGAGGGGCCTGCCAATTTTCCAGGCCACCTTCTGCCTATCGTCCGGGGTGGGACTGGGCCACAGAGTCTGGGGAAGGGGACAGAGTCGGGGCTTGATTCCTGGGAGCTCTATCCGGGAAGAGCTGGAGTTTTATTAAGGGACCCTGCAAGTGGGAAGAGAGCCAGGAGCTCTGGAGCCCAGGGAGGGTAGGAGTGCCTTCCACTGCTGGACCCAATAGAGACCCTGGTTGGGCTGAGGTGGGGGAGAGGGCACTCCCTGAAGGGCCGGAGGCTGTGGGAACGAGTCTGGACCTCAGGATTGCTGTGAGGAGAGCAGGGATTTCCATCTTTCCCAGCTGTTACTTTGGACTGCTATCTAACTGCAATATTTTTTTTTTCAGTGTTAGGAATTGAACCCAGGATGGCTTGAACCCCGTGTTAGGAATTAAACCCACAGAGTTTCATCTCAGCCTGGTTTTAATTACTATGTGTATGTGTGTATAAATCTATCTACACACACACACACACACACACACACACACACACATTTATTTATTTATTTATTTGAGAGAGGGTCTGACTAAGTTGCACAGACCAGCCTTGAACTTTCAATCCTCCTGCCTCGGCCTCCCAAATTGCTGGGATTACAGGCGTGCACCGCCTTGCCCAGCTTCACCTCAATACTTCTTATATTCCTATCAGTCTTCTTGCTCTGCCCTTGATAAGATTGAAGAGCAGAGCATAGGAGTTCTCCCTTTGCAAACATAGGTGCCCCCCCTCCCCTGGCTGCTCTGGATTCTGGCCCCTCTCTCCCCAGTGGCTGGAGGTGGAGGCCCCAGCTGGAGAATGAGATCCAGAGCCCAGTCCTGCTGTCTCTTCAGGCTGTTTGTTCTCCCCACAGGGTCTCTCAGAGCCACGTGCCCTCCTCAGACCTCCGTAGGGGGCAGATTGAAAACAGACCCGTTAGGAAAACACTGTCCTGAGTCAGCCAAGGTCGACTGGGCCAGGCCCAGCGCCCTGGCCACCAGGGGCTGGCTGGAGGGCTGCTTCCTCTGAACCCAGCCCTGCCCCTGCAGGCCCCCAAGTCCCTTCCCATCCCCGTGTCCATTTCCTGGTGAGGGATGCTCAGGTATTTGGGGAATGTTTGTCCAGACCATCCAGTATGATGGCCAAGGCCTGCACCRCTGATTCTGTTACTCTAGCAGTAAAGATAGCAGTGAGATCGCAGGTGGACTTCCTAGGTAGCAGCAGATAGCAAAGTAACTTCTTTGTCTAAGAAGATGGGGTGGGGTGTGTCTCCTCTACAAAGTCAACTGGACCTGGAAATGTACCAAAAGTGGGGCTCTGGGGATCCTGAGGCGCTTCCTCCCTTCCTCTCCTTCCRTTTGGAATAGGATGAATCTGCTTTGATGCTGGGGAAAGAGCATTTGCTTCTCCAGGACCCAGATCTGGAGGAGGGAGGGAGTGGGCCCTTCCCTATGGCATCCTTCAAGGATGGAGGAGTCCACCCGGTCAGGTGCAGTGGGTGTGGGCTGTGAGGCTTGGACCTGGGCCTGTCCTTGCAGAGGTGCTCCCKCGGCTTGGCTTCTTGTTGAAGGGTGCTCTCTCCTGTCCCCCCACTGCTCTTCACAACTGGGGAGCAGAGAAGAGAGAAAGCACATGGGGGCCCAAAGAGTCCACAGAGRCTGAGCCAGAAGGCCTGATCCCAGGGTGGCATGGGGGACGGGGGCAGGGGACACAGCAGGATGGAGGTCCCTTTTTTCGTTTCTCTGGCGAGAAGGGAGCTCTCCTGAGGGCCAGAGGGCATGGGGACCTTCCAGAAAGGCCAAGGAACAGGAGGCTAATGCAGGGAACTTTGAGCCCAAGATCTGACTTTCTTGGCGGGGAAGGGGAGCCTTTCTTTTATCAGAAAAAAATAATACAAACAGTAACAATCGTTATCACTTCCTGAAGAAGATTTTTTTTTTGGTATGTGGTGCTGGGGATTGAACCCAGGGCCATTTTACCACTGAGTTATATCCCCTGCCAGGCTTGTACCTGGTGGGGGTAAGGGCAGGGCACACCCAGTGACTGAGGAGCCACCCTACGGGAGGTCTCCAGCCAGGGTCAGTGAAAGGCCAGATGAGGGGAGCAGCCTGCAGCAGGAGGCTTGCCGGGTGGGAGCCCAGGCCAGCTGTCCCTGGAGATTCTGGGGCACAGAGCTGGGAAGCCCCATCAGGCCTGCTGACTCAACAAGGTGTGGCCACAGCTGAACAGGACTCTGGGCAGGACACACTTCCCTGCCCTTCCTCCCCGAATCTATCATCTTTCACCGCCAGCATCTCCTGCAAGCTGCCTCCCCAGGTCAAGCCCCAGGTCGCTGCTCCAGCTGTCTGGGGTGTGTGTGTGTGTGTGTGTGTGTGTGTGTGACAGTTGTCCCCTTCCCTCTCCTGCAGGGGTGAACGTGATGCTGAGGAAGATCGCGGTGGCCGCAGCATCCAAGCCCGCAGTGGAGATCAAACAGGATGGGGACACTTTCTACATCAAAACCTCGACCACCGTGCGCACCACGGAGATCAACTTCAAGATCGGGGAGGAGTTTGAGGAGCAGACTGTGGACGGGAGACCCTGTAAGGTGAGTGCTGGGAAGGGTCCTCCAGCCTGTGGCACCTCTTGCCCTGTCCCTCCACGTGGCACTGCCCCAGATTTCCCAGATTCCGAGTCACTTGGTCACCTGTTCCTTGCAGAGCCTGGTAAAATGGGAGACCGAGAACAAAATGGTCTGTGAGCAGAGACTTCTGAAGGGAGAGGGCCCCAAGACCTCCTGGACCAGAGAACTGACCAATGACGGAGAGCTGATCCTGGTAAGTCCCCCTCCTCCCACGACGAAAACCCAGTGCGGCCTTTCGAGATTCCCTGGGAAGCTCTAGAAAGAAAGGACCCACAGGGTTGGTCCCCTGCCCTCCAGATGGGGCTGCTTGGATGGGCCTAAGCTGCCCCTGTCGTACACAGCGTGCCTTAGAAATGGGGCTCCTTACGGGGCTCCGTGGCACCCCTCTGTAATCCCAGCAGCTCTGGAGGCTGAGGCAGGAGGATGGCAAGTTCACAGCCAGCCTCAGCAACTTAATGAGGTGCTAAGTCACTCAGCAAGACCCTGTCTCTAAATAAAATATAAAAAAAGGGCTGGGGGTGAGGCTCAGTGGGTAAGCAGCCCTGGGTTCAATCTCTGGTACAAAAAAAAAGAAAGAAACGAAAAAGAAATGGTGTCTCTTTTGTGCAGAGCACAAGATGTGCATCGAGGGGCCCTGGCAGTCTTGGGGGGCTCTCCCTGGGTGGGGAGGAGATGAGACCCCCTGCTGCACTGCCTTCTCCCTCAAATGATGCAGGGCCTTCTGGTCCTGGGTGGGGGGTGGGGGTGGGGGGAAGCAACTCCAGACCCCAGGGCGAGCAGCGTTCCCTCCCCTGGTCCTCCCCTTGCCAAGCCCCAAGCTCCTCCCAGGCTAACGACCTCTCGACCTCTCGGGTTCTTTCAGACCATGACAGCGGACGATGTGGTGTGCACCAGGGTCTACGTTCGAGAGTGAGCGGCCCAGACCGGCCCTCCCCCCAGCCACCCCTGCTTCCCACCCCCCCCTCGGGCACTGCCTCCCCCCACGCTGTCCTAGGCTAGCTCTCCCTCACCCACGTCACCTGAGGTGGCTGGGATGCCTCTTGCAGGGTCTTGCTTTCTTGGACCCCTTGACCCCTCCCTTCTGCCAACAAAGAGGGAGGGATTGCGAGAGCCCTGGTCACCCCTTCCGGCCCCACCGCCCCCCCCCAGATCCGCAGTCCCAGCCCCCACCCACTCCCCAGCCGTTTATTTTCCTATGAGGGGACCTGAGGGTCTAAGTGACAAGGCCTGGCCCTCTGGYGTCCACTCTTTGTTCCTGTAGCCAGTAGGGTTTAGAATATTTATTTGTTAATTTTATTAAAAGCTTTAAAAAAATAACTGTCTCTGGCTCATGCAGCAGGGGTCAGTGAGTGACCCGGACTCCTTCCCCCGGATTCATGTTTCAGTCGCTCAGGTTGGGACCCGACTTCTCATGTTTTCTACGGTGATGACACAGTTCCCAGTTGTCCCTTTCCTCTTCCAGTCTCAAGCATGGGCCTGGCCTTGGTCTCCCACTCGGTTCCAGATAAGCTCATCCACACCCACAAGCTGGCCCTGCTCCTGCTAGGTCTCTGGGCAAGAGGTTGTCACCCTGCCACTCGGCCCTTCAAGACAAGCCCGTTTCTGCCACTGTCTCTCCCTGCCTTAAAATCTGCATGTAAGCCAGGTGCGGTGGCCCACACTTGCAATCCCTGCTACCAGGAAGGCTGAAGCAGGAGGATCACCAGTGTGAGGCCAGCCCGGGCAACTTAGCAAGACCCTGTCTCCAAATGAAATAGAAAAATGGACTGGGGATGAAGCTCAGTGGTGGAGCACACTTGGGTTCAATCCCCAATACTGGAAAAAAAAAATCAAATAGACAAATAAGAATTAAAAACACAGGTTAGCCAGGCGCCGTGGCACGCGCCTGTAATTCCAGTGGTTTGGGAGGCTGAGGCAGGAGGATGGCAAGTTCAAAGCCAGCCTCAGCAACTTAGTGAGGTCCTAAGCAATTCAGTGAGACCCTGTCTCTAAATAAAATACAAAATAGGGCTGGGGATGTGGCTCAGTGGTCAAGTGGCCCTGAGTTCAATCCCTGGTCTCCCCATGGCAAATTAGCTGGGCATGGTGGAATAAGCTTTGTAGTACCAGCTACTCTGGAGGCTGAGGCAGGAGGTTCACTTGAGCCCATGAGTTTGGGGCCAGCCTGGGCAACATAGCAAGACCTGTCTCAAAAAAAAAGACCAGACATGGCAGGCATGGGTTCACATACCTGTGATCCCAGCGACTCAGGAGGCTGAGGCAGGAGGGTCAGGAGTTTGAGAGCAGCCTCAGCAACTTACGAGGCTCTAAGCAATTTAGCAAGACCCTGTCCCAAAATAAAAAGGGATAGGGATGTGGCTCAGTGGTTAAGTGCCCCTGGGTTCCATCCCCAGCACCCCCAAGTAAATAAATAATGAAATCCACCTCTTTAGGTCCAGAATAAAGTCCAGCCTGGTATTAGAGGCCTTTGAGACGTGGCCTYCACCTCCTGCATTCATTCCTCTCTGCCTCCCGGACGCCTTGGCACTCAGTGTCTGCAGAGCTTAGCTCCCTGCATAATGGCCCTGAGTGGCCACTCCTCGGCCAGTGCCACCGTGGGCATGCTTCATGGCCTCTGTGTCAGCGAAGAGTCTCCTCTCCTGCAACATCAGGGGGCCCTGGGGCTAGGGCCACCTGCTTCTGCCCCTGGAAGGTCACGCTGTAGAGGGTGGAGGGCCAGAGAGTGGGGACACCACCCAGAGCTCTTGAGGAGGCTTGGGGGGATGTGGGGCTCTCTCATTTATTCATCCGGTTTGTTTCCTGAGAGCCCCCTAAAAGCCAGGTACCCTGCTGGGTCCTGGGAGCCCAGAATAAAAAGACAGGCTCTCTGGCCTCGTGGGGCTCGTCGGGGAACATGGGCCTTTCGTAGGGAGAGATGAAGATTCTAATAGTAAGTGCCCAGATAAATGCATAATTGAACACGTGGTCAGTGTCCTGAAGAAAATGCAGGAGATGGGGAGACAGAAGAACGGAGTAGCTGTCATTTAGACTGGCGGTGAGCAGAGACGCCAGCAGAGAAGATACTGGAGGGACTCAGGGAATGAAGAGCAGAGGAGCCACAGGGTACAGGCCCAAGGCAGAGAAGCACTTAGGGTCCAACCAGTGTCCCTGGGCAGGAGTTCTGGGAGGCTGGAGTGGTGGGCGGAGCTGGACCATGCAGAACCTGAAGGCCATGCTGTGTTTTATTGATTGATTGGTACCAGGGATTGAACCCAGGGCCGTCTAGCYACTGAGCCACATCCTCAGCCTTTCTTATGTTTTGTTTAGAGACAGGGTCTTGCTGAGWTACTTAGGGCCTTGCTGGGTCACTGCGGCTGGCTTTGAACCTGCAAACCTCAGCCTCCTGAGCCACTGGGATTACAGGTGTGCCACACTGCACTCCTCAAGTGTTTCTGATTTAATTCCAAGTGCAGTGAGAAGCCATTGAAGGGTTTTAAAAAGTGGACGGTGCCCAGGGCCAGGCATGAGCCTGAAATCCCAGTCACTGGAGAGGCTGAGGCAGGAGGATCGCAAACCGAACCCAGCCTCAGCAAGACCCTGTCTCAAAAAAAGCGGGGAGTGGGCTGGGGATGTGGCTCAAGCGGTGGYGCGCTCGCCTGGCRTGCGTGCGGCCCGGGTTCGATCCTCAGCACCACATACMAACAAAGATGTTGTGTCCGCCGAGAACTAAAAAATAAATATTAAAAAATTTCTCTCTCTCTCTCTCTCTCAAAAAAAAAAAAAAAGAAAAGAAAAAGGGGGGGAGGCTAGGTGTACAGCTCAGGGGTAGAGCACTCCTGGGTTCATCCCCACTGTCCCCCCTGTGGCCTTGGGGCCTCCGGCTTTGGTTGCTGAGACGGTCTTCTGTGTGCCAGTTTTTCTGTTTGGTCTAGAACTCCCCCCTCCTGTGCGCATGACCTCCCCCCACCTTAGCCATCCCTGACTCCCACCTGACCCACCCCAGCCCCACGGACCCCGGCCTGCCCTTCCCACCTTACGGTGCCCCCACCCCAGTTCCCTGCAGCCCAGGTCCCAGGCCCAGTCTCTTCCTTCTCCGCCACTTTGTCTCTTTCTGGAACCAAGTTGTTAAGGACACAGAGGGACACTTGCTGAGAAAGGCCAAGAGCCTCTTTCTTTCTCCCAGGCGGTCCCTGCCTCTGCTGGGCTCTGTCCTCTGTCCTCTCCTGTGGGCAGCCTGGGAGCTTCAAGCCGGGCCTGGAGATTGGATCAGGGAGGGGCACCTTGCCCGGCTGGCCCGCCTGGCTCCACCTGGAGAAAGTCCCTCCAGCTTCCCCGCCCGCCTGCAAGGCCCTCCTGGGCTCCTCTTCMGTTACCTACGTCGTCCTTACTCTGCACAGCATCCGGGAGAAGATTCTAGAACCCCGTCTCCTACCTGCACCCACAGAACTGCAAGATCTCGGGAGCAGTCCCTCCTGTTCTCTTTGTTTGTTTGTTGCCAGGGATTGAACCAGGKGTGCTTAACCCCTGAGCCACATCCCTAGCCCTTTTTTATATTTTATTTAGAGACAGGGTTTCGCTAAGTTGCTGTGGCCGGCTTTGAACTTGTGATCCTCCTGCCTCAGCCTCCCAAGCCGCTGGGATCGCAGGCGCGTGCCACGGCGCCTGCCCCCTTCTCTTCTTTGAAGCACATAGTTCCCAGAGCCCAATCACAGGAGGTGCTGAAGAGTCTTGGGCCCAAGGCTGGGAGTCTGACACCTACAGCAGGGATACTGTTAGGCTGAGGGRGTAGACGGTGACATCTTGGGGAAACTGAGGCACAGACAAACCCTCTTCTCCCACTCCTCGAAGAAACCAGAATAAGTAGCTTGGGGGTGGCAGAGGTGGGACTGGGGAGGCTCACTGATGTCGAAACCCAGAGATTCCCGATGTAGCTGAGAGCAGAGAGGATGGAGCCTGGGGCAGCAGGACACTGAGGTCTCCCAAGTCCCTGGCACAGAGAGCAACTCCATGCCTATGATGTGGCCCGGAAAACCATCTTAGGAGCCCGCAAGGGACARAAGATAGGGCGGTCCTCTAGAGACTGAGGGACACGAGGTGTGGGGACCCACGCCAGCAATCCCAGCACCGGGAGGCTGAAGCAGGAGGATTCCAAGCCGGAGGCCAGCCTCAGTGACTTAGTGAGGCCCTGTCTCAAAGTCAAACATCCAAAGGGCTGGGATTCAGCTCGGGGTTAAGCACCCCTGGGGTCAATCCCCAGAACCAAAAGAGAGAGAGAGACAGAGAGAATTCAAAAACTAGAGAGACAGGCTGGGGAGGTGGCTCAAGCAGCAGGGCCCTCGCCTGGCAAGCTCGGGGCTCTGGGTTCGATCCTCAGCACCACATACAAGTAAAATGAAGATGTTGTGTCCACCGAAAACTGAAAAAAAATATTAAAAAAAAAAAAAAGCAAGAGAGAAAGCTGAGCAGGGAGGAGGCGCCCAGGGGAGGCCCCAGAGGCGGGTTGGGGGAGAGGGGGCCGCCCGCCAGGCCCCTGACCCCGGGTCCCTCACAAAGAGCTGCCTGAGCACTGTGGCCGGAACAAGATGGATGGGCCTGGGGTGCGGCCTTTGTGGCTGGCGGGGGATGAAAGGGAGCTGGCTTTGGAGAGCCCTCGAGGGTCCCCTGCCCCTGGTTGGTCCCCTGCCCCTCCCCGTGGTGACCTCGGCAGCCCTCCACCGAGTTGGGGGGTGGGGAGCGAGGAGCTGAGTCCAACCAGGTGTTTCTCCTGGCTGGGCCACTCTACCTGGGCGAGATGGGCGGAGGGACACTGGGGGACCTGGGCTGGGGGTCCTCCAAGTGGACAGAGAGGAAAGTCCGTCCATGAGTCCTGGGCAGAAAAGGGGCCCCTGCAAGGCTGAGGGAGGCCCCTGCAGAGGGGCTTGAGAATGTTCTAGTAACTGCCTGGGGTCCCCTGGCCAGGT